CCTCCCTCTACCCACACTGCACACTAACGCCGCGCTCCGTATCCCCGCTCGCCTACCATCTGCGACGACTTCGGGTACTTGGCCTGCACGGCGGCGACAAAGTCTTCGCCCTTGCAGATGTGCAGGAATCCGCAGCGTGGGAACCAGCGTGCGTGCTCCACCCACACGTCGTCGTGCGGCTCCCAGTTGCGCAGGCCGCCCGAGCAGAAGAAGCACTTGACGTTGTCCTGTATGCCTGCGCGAGCGGCGAGCGCGGACGAACAAGAGGCAGTCTGGTGAGCCGGGGGTTTGAGAACGACGTGTTTCGATCCTTATTGGCTCCAATTGTAGAGCATGGAGCTGTGGCATTGCGTTGATTTCATTACTAGGCTTTGTTACGCAATGCTGCTTCCGGTGATAGGGGTATGGTTGCTATGCTGACTTTTTAATGATTCAATTAATATTTATTTGAATGCGACATATTAGTGAGGTGTTAAAATAGCATATATTGGTGAGGCAACTCAAGGTACGACACACACACACCGTATCGTACACACACACATCGTATAGAGTATTACGAGTGCGGCACTTGGGCATATAACATTTTGGTGATGGATTTACGATAACATTAACATACGATTTTACTGGGGCTTTTAATTGCGACATTTTAGAGACGAGTGGACGAGCATGCACACATACACACGCACACACACACATACATGCGCACAAAATACACGCATGCACGCACACGCACGCACGCACGTACATACAGGCACACACACACGCACGCACCCACGCACGCACGCACGCACGCACGCACGCACACACACACACACACATACACATGACACACACACACATACACATGACACACACACACATACACATGACACACACACACACGCACGCACGCACGCACCCACGCACGCACCTCACACATACACGCACATGAACACATGCGCGCATGAACGCACACACAGCATACCTGCGTAGAAGAAGCCAGCCTCGGCGAGCTGCTGCGGCTGCTGCTCGCGTGTCTCGTGTGGCCACGTCTCGTAGCTCTGCACGCGCGACGCGAGCGTGGCGTAGGCCGCGTGCGTCGGCCGCGCCGTCACGCCGACAACGTTCACCTCCTCCCAGCCGGGCTCCGTCGCGCTCGGCACCACCTCGACGCTGTACGCCACGGGCACACCGCTAGAGGGCGCTCGCTGCGGCCTGTGCACGACAACGACGCTCGCGTCACGATTCGCAGACATGGCGGAGTAACCGCGCGCGTAGCAGAGCTTTGCTACTCGGAAGAGTGANCCCGAATATCGTGACCGTACGTCGAGCGGTTAAGATTTGTGCCCAACTGTTGACGGACGGACGGACGGACGACCGGACGGACGACCGGACGGACGGACGGACGGACGGTCATGCGATTCTACAAGCTGCATCTGACTATGTCAGATGAGCTAAAAATAACACTGACGAAATTTTATTAGCATGTGAGCTATAGAGATCCGATGAAATTATTCAATCAAATAATCTACCCACTCCCACACACCATACTTACACCCCCCATGCACACGCACAACCACCCACCATCTCACACACCCCATACACACCCACAACCACCCACCATCTCACACACCCCATACACATCTGCTACATACTTAATCAGGGTTCATAGTAGTAAGACACATGTTGAAATAAGGACTTATAAGACCCTTTCTGGACCGACTATTAAAGTACACTAATAATATTTATATACACAATTGCACAGCAGATTTAATTATTCCGTATTATATATACAACAATTCTTACTCAAAGTCGAGAACAGTAAGTCGAAAAATAAGGACTATTAAGTACTTTTCTAAGATTTTACCAAAAATAAGTACTAATAAGGGCCCTTATTTTATTTTTGGCAAAATAAGTACTTATAAGACTTTGGAAGACCCGCCACGAACCTTGCTTATGTACAACAGTCATCCACCCACCGCCACACACATACACCCCTCCCATACAAACACCCACACACCATACTTACAACCCCCACACACAGGCAAGCATGCACACATGCACACACGACACACGCACCAACACACACAGACTGACACACGCACGCACGCACGCGCACACACACACTGACACTGCTATGTTGTCATCACTCACGAGATCCTTGATCATGTGGCGCAGCTCCTCGCCGGCTATCTCCACGCTCTCCTTCTAAACACACACACGCACGCACGCACGCACGCACGCACGCACGCACGCACGCACGCACGCACGCACGCACGCACGCACACTGACACTGCTACGTTGTCATCACTCACGAGGTCCTTGATCATGTGGCGGAGCTCCTCGCCGGCTATCTCCACGCTCTCCTTCTTTCCGACAATGCAGATCGTCTCCAAGTCTTCATCCTTCGAGTTCGGGAAGACCACGCGCACGTCAAACTTCTCACGGAACTGCAAACACAAACACCGGTGTGTAAAACCGTTAAAAAAAGTACTTTTTTT